TCAATTCACATCCGTGTGCTATATATCTGTACAAGAAATGTCACTTTCGGTCAATTAAATTTTATTTTGTTAACATTTTTTGTTAAGAAATAGTTTGCTTTTAATTTCAAACTGGGTTCACTGACATTCGTATATATTATAGGATTCTCTATAAACTTTACAATATGAATCAGGTTTGATCTATACTTCAAATTATACCAAATCATTTATATTAAACATTAAAGTTACCAGGCACTGATATATGTATGTTGTTATGAACTCAATTTACAAGTTTATTGTTAATATAGCGATTATGTTCAAATTACCAATTAAATTTCTGCACTATTTATGACATTCTTGTCAATATTGTATATGGTATCTTCGAAGAAGCATCTTATGAAGTGGTTTATTCTTTTTGTTGTTTATTTGTGAAGACTGTATTGAGCTTAGTCATTTGGATAGCTGTCTTATTTGTGTGTATTCTTTTTCCTGATACATGAACATTTATTTTATAAATTTCACCATTCATGTACTAGTTTTAATGTCATGCATAGTTCTATTCCGATAGTATTCTAAATCAATAAAACACATGTAGCATAATAATATTTATTTATCATATTTATTATAATTATATTCAACAGTTTATAGATAATAAATATAATAAATAATAATAAATAAGCTTTATTTAGTGTCGGCACAGTATAATAACAAAGACAACATAAGATCTAATGAGCTTTTAACCGACAAACAAGACATTTATAACAATACAACACATAATTTAATTGCATTTATTAGGGGATTCTAATATTACTGTTAATTTGGCAATGATGAAAAAATTCCCTTTACTCCCTTATGTACAAATGCTACTAGCTCTATCGGAATTGGCTCCTGTATGGAAATGAAAAGAATGAAAGGAGAATTGGGGCTACCTATTTTATAACAATTTATATAATAATTAAAAAAGAAATAATTAGTATAGAATATTAATAATTAAGAGTTGTTATAGAGTGTTGAACATATATGCAAAGAAAGAAGCTGGGTTTGGGCTTTACTTATAACCGGATTTCCAGAGAGTTAATATAGCTATATTTTAACCAAATAATTAGAAATGTTTTGTCGTCTGACATTGTGTAAGAAAAGAATATTCAAAAGTATTGACTTTTATATATGTTTCTGGGTTTTTACTCATTATGGCTTGCACGCGCTTTTTCTGTTTATGGCTTTTAATATTAAAACAATAAAATATAGTTTTCAGGTTTTGTGTTGTCTTTACAGATGTAAGGATCAAACGAGAACACAAGCTGAAAAACAAGCTTTTGATCTCTCATTTATCTCTATTGAGAAATTATCAGATTTATACATAAAATACTGATAAATGCATAACTACAATAAATTATGATTTAATTAAATGATGTTTATTCAAACACCGTCATATCTAACAATCAATTATAATTTAATTAAATGATGTTTTACTATTCATACACAATCATTTAGGATTTAATTAAATGATGATTTCAAATTTTGTATTGCATATTTTATCTACGAATTATAATATTACTGTAACAATTCTTTTATTTTTCCTAATATATATATTTAAAAAAATGAGGTGCCGAATTGTCTTGGTCCCGAAATGTCCGGATTCCGAAATGTCTAAAAAGGATGCCGAAATGTCTTCGGACTTGGGTGCCGAAATGTCTTGTTACCCAATTTCAAGAGATTAAGAAATTATGATGTGACAACTTTCTATTCGTAGATAGGGAAATAGAGAGACATGAACGAGGAAAAGAACGAAATGACACATGCACATAGGAACTTATTTAATATACTTTATTAATTCTTTTGTGTAGTTTCATTCTATTACTTCGCGTCGGATTTGAGTTATCTAAATAAATATTCCTACTTCTGGGTTTCATCATTCAAGATTATAGTTAACTATCTGTTTAGAAGGAATTTTAAATCTACCTGTGTACGTTACTTTATTTAACGCCATTTTGTCCTAGGTTAAAGTTGTCTTTCTGACATTGAAACATCTTTTTTATTTATATTGTGTCATAGATCAAACTTATTCGTTCAGTGTATATTTACTTGTTTTTGTGTATTTTCTTTTTGATCGAGTTAAACCATTTCAATTGATATTTTATTGTGTGTTTTTTTTATGTTGTAATGTTATACCACTGTTTCAGGTTAGGGTGAAGGTTGGCGCCTGTTAAAACGTTTAAACTCGCTACATTTTATGCACCTATCCTAAGTCAGGAGCCTGTTGCTGAGTGGTTGTCGTTTGTTGGTATGGTTCATAAGTGTTTCTGGTTTCTCGTTTTTTATATAGATTAGACCTTTGGTTTTCCTGTTTGAATAGTTTTACACTAGTCTTTTTGGGCCCTTCATTGCTTGCTGTTCGGTGTGAGCCAAGGCTCCATGTTGAAGGTCGTACTTTGACCTATATTTGTTTACTTTTTACACATTGTACCTTGGATGGAGAGTTGTCTCATTGGCACTCATACCACATCTTCTTATTTATATTGACAATGAATATAACATTAAAGATTTATAACCCGACCCACCTACGTCAAGTTTTATCACCAATGACTATTAAACTAGCAAACCACTCGATACTTTTGGATGGGATATTAATACTATCTGCATGCACAATAACTAGAATATACAAAAACATTGCTTTAAATATTTATTTTAGCATGTAATGGTTTAATTCAGTAATGAAATGAGTTAAATTTAAATGAATTTTATGGTTTATTATTAGGAATATCGAAATGAAATAATTTCTATTACAATGTATAGTATTGCTTATTTTAAGGGTGTTTTCGGGGAATTCAAGTTCTTTGTAAAACAAATAAAAAAAGATTATCAGTACACACTCTATGAATGGTCAAGAATGTATTTCTCTGAGGATCTTGTCCAACAATTTAAATTATTTAAAAAAAATAAAAAAAATAAGTTAAAGTTTGATAGGCAATATTTTGTACCTTGATTTCGAAAAGATACAAAATACAGATGTTCACAATATACCGCAGCGGTTACTTAATGGATTATTGTACATCGATATCCTAATTGCATATAGTCATTGTCTGTGCACGGTTTACCCTGAATTTATTATACAATGCGGGCATCGTTTATTATGTGTCCATTCATAGTTCAAACAGCGTGCAAACACGATTTGCAATTGGTTGCCGATGTTAAATCGACTTTTACATTACAAGGACTAATAGTGCTGATTCTAGTTAAATTGAAACTTAATGCTCTCTGAAAAAAGAGTCACATGTTTTTTTAAGAGTCTTTGAATATATAGCCGATCTGTAGCAGAACAAATTGTCTGTTCCTATAATCATGTACAATTTTGTTTATTTTCAATTTACAACATAAATATGCAAACAACACTTTACAAATTTCAAAATTGTATGTTTGACTTAGAAGGAAATCATAGTCATACCCTGCTGCAAAACAATTCAGAAAATTGAATTAGGAGCATGTCTATTTTGGTTATCAATATTACACTAACACAATATGCAACTAATATATTTCAGAAAGAACAGGTATAAGTTGTTCATATTATAACTATATAGTGTCTTTCAGAATAAGTAGGAATATAATATTACAAAAGAATGATATATATATATATATATATATATAATCAAGAAAACATACCTTAAGAACTTTCGTTTTCCTTTACTATCGTAAGTTCATGTACATATGATAATCAAAATATGAATGTGTACTCAATAGGTCCCCTATTCACTAATATATCATACACATTGAAAGTTAAAATGTCAACTGTTATGCACTAGTTGATAAAATCGCCACTATAGGAATACGTGATTATTAAAGAGAGGTTAACTTTAAGTACAGTATCACACCTCGTCGAACATTTTTTATTAAGTAGTTTTTGGGGTTTTTATACATAATCTATAAATAAATTAGAAATTAATTTAAAGCTCTTGTTCAGTTCAGTTGTTTCCCTGACCATTACTTATGCCACTACATGTCGGCAAATAGTGATTTATATATGTTGTTTTGGACACACATTAAACAATTTTATTGTACCTTTACTGTTAACAATTTGTCTTATCTACAACTTTAATTAAGTATCCTTATATATTAGTTATTGAATATCTAATGAAAATATTTAATGAAGAAGTTCTATTAAGTTATATATATTTATATATTAGAACATAATCAAATGTTAAAAGGGATACAGTGCGTCTCTTCTATATTGTATATAATTTTACTAAAGCTTCACTGAATCGCAAAATTGATGATGATCTTTGGTAGCATGACTCTGCGTCAGATAATTTTTGCCGACGATAGCTAATTTTGAACTTTGTTTTAGCTTACACGACTAAAGTGTAAAAGAAATCTTAATTGATGAGGTAAGAAAGTATTTGATTTCACACAAATTGTACACTGCTTAATTTTTCAAATTAGTAATGTTAATTTCTCTGTCATGATCAAGTATAGAAAAATCTCGTTGTCTTTAATACGTGTATACAATAACGTTACATCATTGCGTGTAATCTAGTTGATCTTAAAGGTTTCAAAAGACAATGAAAGTGATGATGAACGATTGAAATAAATTCGTAAAACACATTTAAAGCTAACAAGTTGTTATTGTTGCATTTGTTTTTGTATAGACCAATGGAAGTAGGTTCTTAATACTAACGGTATTGAAAACTTGACCACTTTGATAGGCCAAATAGTCTAAATACCACATGTTAAGATAGTCGGTAAGATAAATTCGTTCCTCTGGTATCTTTCGTCCCTCTTTTACATAGTGTGCTAGTGATCTAATACGATATATATATTGGGTCAGTATATTCAATATGGGGATTCGAGCTTCGCTCTCACCCTATATGGAATTTACTGACCCCATATATATCGTATTAGGTCACAAGCACACTATGTAATTAATATTATGCCAGTTATTCAAGTAATATCACTCAAAGACAATGCACATTTATATTATCAAAAATAAAAGATAAAATTACACACACTGTAGCCTCATACAATGTTCAAATGTATTATTCATAAGTTAAGTCAAATCTTAATATGCATATGCCATGGTGATGGTTAAGGTTTTCAAACAATACCCTGTCAAGAAACATTTACACATTGAGTCAGATTATACATTGTATCATTTCCGTTACATTGTACGTTATCTCTATATGTTTGATCCAAGAACATATTCAGAACAATGCTTCCAAATAGAATCAGTAATAATGAAACAGATATTAAGAACCGTTGACATATAATCATTTTATACAATGGTATCGATTGCTCTCCTATTTTTTGTTCAGACAACTGACGAAAATCGCTATCACTTGGTTTGGCTTCTGTATAACTACATGATGTGCTGTGATCATCTAAAATATATTTTTTCAAACAGTTAAATGATTATCTAATATGATGCACATCATACAGAATAATAAATTTATATAATGTTCAGATATTGAAACGCTGAAAAGATCTATCAAGGCGTTGAGGTCATCATATACTGCTTTTAGATAACTTCCTTAGTTCTTCCTTAAGATTTTTTTAGTTTGTTTTCGACAACTAACCTACATTTAAACAGGAAGATGTCTTAAGAAAACTAAGATTTTTCTTCACCTATATCAAACAATAATATGTATTTAGTTATTAATCAGAAAAATGGCATAATAAAGTTCTTCCCGAATTTTACAAATGTTGAACATTGAATGATAGAGGGAAAATAATGTCTTCCCTTACTGCAAAACTGTTTCTAATTATCGTTTTTATTAACATTATAATTGCAAATGTCTCAAATCTCGATGGATGAACTTTACCAACACTCTGATATGTTCATGAACTCACCTCCATAATAAGTTGGGTCTTTTACGTTAACTGCTGTCAGTTCTTGAGCCTTCAAAAAATATTAATTTCTTTCATGATTAGATAGTTACCTGACAACTTTAAATAATCATCCTGTCCACATCACATTTATATTTATGAAATAAACAAAAACATATTTACAATCATTATGTTTCTTTGATAACAGTAGTATTGTAAATAACGTAAAGAAACGTTCCACTTATTTTGTTTGAAAATATAAGATTTCTTTACAGAAAAACATATTATATAAAACAGGAAACAGTTTTTTTCATTATAGCCTAAATCATTATGAATGAGGACGTTACATATAAATTTAAATCTTTTGTTTTAGCACTAAGATTTCATACCTTTTTACATTCATTTTTCCAACTAAGTGACAATGTCTTCGCAGCAAACAATATAAATATGACTACTATAGCTGTACAGAAAGCCAACCATACACCTAAATAAAGATAGTACATTGCATCGATTGTGATATGATCTTTCTCCACTCAAAACAGCTTCTTTTTCAAATCTTATAGTCGAGATTTAAGAAATATTTATTGCACAAAACTCCGAAAGCATTGTACAGGTAATTTTAAGAAGGAAAATAAAAAAATATTTCCAGTTCATTGAACTGTAAAAAATATATAAGTGTAAATACTCCAAATTAAACTCAAAAAGGGGAAAGTCCGTAAAACCTGACAAAACAAAATGCTCGACTACATCAACCAACAGAACGTCTGGCAACAACTGTCATATCTCTGACTTGGTGCAAACATTTTCTAGGAAAACCTTTGTTCAAACCTGATTTTGAACCTGCCACTTGTTTGACAGTTGTTTATAGTTTCTTTATAATGAAAAAGTTACGTGAGCAACTTAAACAGACATATTTATTTAACATGACAATAGTTTGGACAAAGAAGCCTAAATTGTGTAAGCAAACATCATATATTATTAAGATCCATGTTGTTACATCTGGTGATCCGTTTATTTTGGCAATTGCCATGACAGTGAGCAGGGTTTAAGAACATCAGTTGTTCGACCTGCTAGTCAAATGAGTTTTGTTAAAATATACTTTTTCACTTTTTTTGGTCTTTTGGAAAATGTTGTTTATGCTGTATTTTGACCCCTCTTCTAAGAAATTTGTTTTGCATGCACATGTATAAAAATTGCGGTTTTTATGCAACGCAAACATAGGTTTGAACGTTGTTTTCAATTAAGACTTGTATATATATACACATATATTTGGTGCCACGATATCTCCGTAGCATGAGTTCGAATCCCAACCAGGGAAGAAAAAAAATTTACAAATCTAACATTGTTGGGCTGTTATATAGACGAATTATATATTTACAAGTCTAAATTGAAAACAACGTTCAAACCTATGATTGCGTTGGATAAAAACCGCAATTTCTATACGTGTGCATACAAAATCAATTTCTTGGTAGAGGGGTGTAATATATATATCTTTTTGAAATCCCTTTTACAGTACTATCATCATCAAAAAAGAATAATTAAATCAATTGTATTGTAAAACAATTGATTTAAAAAAAAAAATTGTTGAGGATAGTACAGTAAAAGGGATTTCAAAAAGAGATACAACAGGGACATTCAAACTCATCAGTAAAAACGCCATGGCAACAAACAAAAATGACCAAAAGACAAAGAACAGTATACAAAACACAACATAGAAAACTAAAGACGACACAACACGAACCCAACCAAAAACCAGGGGGTGATCGCAGGTGCACCGGAAGGGTGAGCAGATCCTGCTCTACATGTCACACTCGCTGTATTGCTGATTAAAGTACAAACCGGATGACAAGTCCAATTCGGCATGTCACAAATCGGGAAAAGACGACGGGATTGTGGTTACGACAATTTGAACATAACCGTCGTCATCTGTGACACAGATATTCTATTACGGTCTACCAAATCGTGATAGAATCAATAAAATGTTCGAAGGGATAAAGTCAACTTCACCACCTTAAAACTCTTGATTTGATAGCTTCCTGGTGAACAGCAACCGTCTATAAAGGAAATCATGATAGGAAATGAAAGCCCTGGAGTATCGTATCAACTGGGAAATATTTACTCCATCTGCAGGCGCTGCTAAAATGTTTCAACATAGAAATTGAAAGTTTACAATTGGAAAGCTTAAATAATCTCTGGTGTCGTAAAGTTTTTGTCTCAACTGACCCTCATTGTCAATTTCTTGATTTAAGTCAAGATATGAGGCAGACCTAACTGTATCGGTTTTATCCTTTATTTCAGTTCGATGACATGGATGCGTTCAACATAGTCACCAAAGTTTGAATTATTTAACGAGAGAACATAATCTTTATATAGATATAAGAAGATGTGGTATGAGTGCCAGTGAGACAACTCTCCATCCAAGTCAAAATTTATAAAAAAAACCATTATAGGTCACAGTACGGTCTTCAACACGGAGCCTTGGCTCACACCGAACAGTAAGCTATAAAGGGCCCCAAAAAATTACTAGTGTAAAACCATTCAAACGGGAAAACCAACGGTATAACGGAAAATGAAGTTAAAGGATAATGCTAGCTTCTTTTCATTCTTCCTAAGAAGATCTTGTATGAAGTCATCATGTGGAATAAAGGAACAAGTCGGCAAGATGAGGGCACAGTTGATTCCCTATATGTCTATATGTCATTTTGTTTTTCTCTGTTGACATAGTTGTTTGTTTTTTTATAGTAATTAAGATTACAAAACACTGTTGAATGATGTACCCTTAATTTTGACATTTTTACCTATTATAAAGGCAACAGTAGTATACCGCTGTTCAATAGCCATAAATTGATTAAGCGATGTCTATTATGTCTGTTTCTTTGCCTCACACGTTGCTGTCAATATAATGGAATTCTATGCGACTGTCATATAAGTGAGAGGTTTAGCTAGCTATAAAAATATGTTTAATCCACCACGTTCTACATATGGAACTGCCTGTATCAAGTTTGGAATATGACAGTTGTTTTCGATTTGTTTCATTGTGTTTGCGCTTTTGAATATGCCTTTTGATAAGGAACTTTCCGTTTACAATTTTCCTTGAAGTTCGGTATTTTTTTTTATTTTACTTTTTCACATTGGAATATCGATTGTTTGTTGAAAAACATGTCAATGTCGATCAAAATATCAAGTATCTTGATAATGTCAGTTTTAGAGAATTTTTTGTTTGAATTTGATTAAATTTTTGCAAAGTACGGTTTATTTCTCCCCAAGACAAGACACTTGTATATACGTTCGCAATTCCATATTATGGAACAAGCAGAACCTATTATTTCAATTTGTCTTTTAGTTTGGAATGGGGAAAGTTTGTGTCTAAACTCGTATAATTCTACTAGTAATTAACAGAAATATCATTTCATAGAAATATTATTTCATTGAAATATAATATTGAGAATTAATAACTAACCAGTCAATCAATTAACCAAAACATCAATAAAACAATATCAAAATAATCAATTTCCAATTGATTTCCCCTGGATTAACTTACTATTTGAAAATATTATTAATCTTTCAAGTACTGAAATATCTAATAAAATTCTTGTTCGTTCTTTTCCAGGAGAAATCAATTGGAAATTGATTGTTTTGATATTGTTTTATTGATGTTTTTGGTTAATTGATTGATCGGTTAGTGATTAATTCCAAATGTTATATTTCTATGGAATGATATTTCTATGAAGTGATTTTTCTATGAAATGATTTTTCTAGCCGCCAGTCACTGCTAAACTGCGAGTACTCTCAGATCTGTACTTAGTGTTTCTTGTGTTGTGGGGATGTACAAGTAACCTGCCACGTCTAACTTGTTTTTTTGTTACATGTATTTCTGTTTTGAATCCATCTGATGAGTTAAGCCCTTTTCAACTGATTTTTATAGTTTGTTCTTATATTGTACTGCTGTTACACCACTGTCCCAGGTTAGGGTTAGGTAAGGGCGCCTTCAATCTAGTTTAACCCCGCCACATTCTGTATGTGCCTGTTCTAAGTTAGGAGCCGGCAATTCAGTGGTTGTCTCTTGTTGCTGTGTTGTATATTTGTTTTTCGTTCATTATTTTGTACATACATTAGGCCGTTAGTTTTCTCGTTTGAATTGTTTTACATTTGTCATTTCGGGGCCTTTTATAGCTGACTATGCGGTATGGGTTTTACTCATAGTTGAAGGTCGTACGGTGACCTATAGTTGTTAATTTCTGTGTCATTTGGTCTCTTGTGGAGAGTTGTCTAACTGGCAATCATACCACATCTTCTTATTTTTATTTTATAGATTTGAGATAGTAAAAACTAATTGTACCTGCTATCTGTAAAGATGTATACAATACAAACACTATCAGCAGCGGTATTCCTATGATATAATATGCTATAACCGTAACAATGCCTCCGTATTTCTGATGTCCTGATCCGCGTAAAATGCCATTCAAAACAAGCTGCAATGATAATATTTTCCTTATTCAAAAGCAAAATCTGATGGAAATAATACTATATCTTTTTTTTATAACCTGTTGTTTTTCAAATGGCTTAACTCAATCAAAAGACATATTAACAAAAACAAGTGAACATACACTGAACGAATAAATTTAATCTATGACACAATGTAAATACAAAATTAATAAAACAAGGGGTTAGATGTAAAACAATATCAGAAAGACAACCATAACTTTGGACAAAAAGCCGTCAAATAAAATAACGTACACAGGTAAATAAAAAATAATTTTGTTGTAAGGTATACATGGAGTACGGAAATAATTTTTACAAAATAAATAATTTTGTTGTTCCTAGTACGGGAACAAAAGTAAAAATTTGTCGTCATACTAAACACTTATCAAAGGTGGTATATATGAAAAAAGTGAGACTAGATATAATACTGAATAACTATACATTAAATAATAAAAATACATTACAAATTGTATTTCCAGGTCAAATTAACACGAAAGCACGATTTGAGAGTACTCGCAGTTACTGAAAGCTAGTTAAAAGCCAAAAACAATTAATATTAACAAATCATGCATTAGAGACTAAAATTAACTAAAACACATCCCAGGGATTTAGTGTTTTAACGTCACGGACAGCCAAAGAAGACATGACTTGTCCAATGCCAAAATGAAAGTATCGACAGGCAGTAGGATAGTTAGGAGGTAACCTGTTAATAAATATGTATTAATACTAGTATATATATAGAGTAATCTCTATATAGAAAAAGAACGTGGATGTGTATTTATTCATCCCAAAAAAAACTGTTTGAAAAGAATACAAATTTAGTTATATTTTAATTTTCTAATGACAAAATCGATATTTGTGCCAATGTAAACTATATGCAAAGATATAATTACAACATTGGTAAGATAACCTTTACTAATAAGTGTGTTTAATGGTTCGATGAGTTAACACGGACCCCATAGTGATTTCCCCGATTTTAATACAATATTACCGTAAAATTTAGGATGTGAAATGCCGTTTTTAATAAGTTTTCTACAGGTACAGCCAAATTTACTAATCAAGTCTTTGTGTCTATGAAAGAATTTAGTAAAAGGTTTAAGCAATTTATGGTAACGAAATCCCTGACTTAATAATTTACCAGTGATGCATTGATTACGTTCGGTAAAATCTATGCCATCACTACACACACGGGCATAATGAACGAGTTGGAATATATAAACACCGTATGATGGAGCCAAAGGAACATCGCCGTCTAAAATGGGAAAATTAACAATAGGGAATGAAAAATCGTCTCTTTTGTTTTAAATTTTAGTATGGATTTTCCCTTTAAAAATTGGAATGTCTAAATCTAGAAAAGGACAACTACTGCTGTTTATGTAAGATTTATTTAAAGTAAGTTCCTTTGGGTAAATTTTGGTAGTATATTTAGAGAACTCTGGATTAGACAACGATAAAATATCATCAAGATAACGGTAGGTATTGTTGAATGTATCAACCAAATGTAACAATGACGTGTCTTTACTGAGTTTAGTCATTAACTGAGATTCATAGCAATACTGGAATAAATCTGCTATTAAAGGGGCACAGTTAGTGCCCATAGGAATACCTACTACTATTTTATCGCCGAAAAGTACATATATGTTGTCCAGGAGAAAATTTAAAGCTTCAATCATATCTTCACATTTCCAGTAAGTGTATCTAGCATACTTTCCTTTTTCGTTACAGAAAAAGGCTTTAAACAAGTTACAGCAAATAAATTTACAATGAGATTTTTCAAAAGACCACTTAATTAAATATGAAAACTTTTTCTTGATAAGATTGTTTGGAAGTGTAGTGTAGAGAGTAGAAAAACCATAACTGTCAAGAGAATTAAAAGCATGTATTTTATCTAAAACCTCTAATGAATTTTTAACACTCCAAAAATAATTAATACCATTATTTTCATAAGCTTTATTACAAAAGTTAATAACAAGTTCTTTGATAGTAGTAAGGGAGGTAGTTAGCAGCACTGACAGATTAGTAGTAGAACACTTACTAGATGCGGAGATGAAACGAATGTTAAATGGTTGTTTGTTTAATTTAGGTAACCAGTACATAGTCTGGACTTTCAAATGTTCGGAAGAGGCTTTAAGCTGGGTAGTGGCAGTGATATGCTTTTTTACAATTTGACTCTCTGTGGAGCGTACGGACCTAAATGTAGGCGAATTGATAATTTCGTTTTGGAGAACTTCCGTGTAGTATATGTGTCACACCACCACTACATTATTGGCTGCTTTGTCTGCCGGTACGAACACAAACCACTTTGCAAGTACTTGGAGTTTATTTTTTATTCTAGAAATGGGTATATCATGGACCCTATTATTAATTTCAAAATTGTTTTCAATAATTAGATATACGAATATCTAGAGTATTCATAATTTTATTCAAATAACTGTCTAGAGATTTTTTATCAGATTTTTTACGTTTACACCAATTTTTACAGAAGGCAGACAAAGCGTCTTTAATGACCCGACGACACTGTTTCCAATCTATTATAGATTGAGGACGATATTTAGGTCCTTTCTTCAAAAATGTTTTGACCTCACGGTCTTCGACCATGTTGAGGTCTCCTGTAATGACATGACCATAGGGAACATATCTAAAACTAGATGTTTCACAGTCTCAAGTGGAAGGAGCATTAATTTTTATATTGACGTCTGCTGTAACTGACGTATAAAAAGGTTTATCGATACTAGGAAATAGATAGTGATGGCAAAAGGCTGTAATAATACGAGTGTATTCATACAACGGGCTAAAAAATGAAATTTTATCACACTCCTGAAAAATAGCATACAACTTACATACTTGTATATGACCCAGTTAACATAATACTTGATGTCTACCATTATTTTTTAATATAGATAACAGACCAGCAAGTTTATAATTTATACGATGTTTAATACGTTGATTACGATGTTTGCGTTTACCATGAGACTTATCATTTCTTAGTCGTTTATCGACAATATTAATGACATCGATAAAGTTTTAGATATATTCCCCTGTCCGATTATTTTGTCATTGAGACCGAGAGGATAAGCTGTTTAAAGTCTCTTTATCAAAAATAGTTCGCGAACTTCACGGAATTTTTTCGAATTGCTTGTGTGATTGTCCTGGTTGTTTCTGAACGGTTTCAAGTGGTTGGAATTTTATAATTTTTTTTAGATCTGTAGCATATAATCCTGCTACATATTTACACATCCCTGAACAAAACACAAAGAGACAACACTGACGCGATTGCTAACATAGGACTTACATGCACGCATTTTGTTTTAAATAGCTAATATCAGATAGTTACTGCTTATTTTTGCGCAGTTGTTTTAGACCCGGGACAATTTAATGCTTGACATATTGGCATAATGCTTGTAGTTACTGAAAAAGGAAACTATATATTGGGTGAAAAAAGAGAACATGTAGAACTTCAACAAATCTGGTTTATCTTAGGAGATGTTAATAAAATTAACTCAAGCATAAAGTTTTATAAATGTTTTATAATGATTGAGAAAATCCTGGGCCTTGAATATGACTCAGCATACATTCATAGTTTACCGTATGCATAGTTTACCTAAAGCCCTTTATGCAAAGTGAATTCATAATCTATCCATATATGTAATTTAAATTATTACAAAGTGCTTATAGTTACACTTTTCAGTCACTGGAGCTCATATATCCCTGATGAGCCTTTTTGTTGGGGTGTTTTCGTCCTGTCAAAAACCCCTAAGTAAGCCGTAACACCTGAATGTGCTTTTTTCTTGTGACCGCGGCATAAAAAAATAAAAAATAAAGATACAAAAATATCTTTTTAAAACAAACAATAGTGTGTTCTATCCTATAAATATAGTTAAGACTCAATATTCACATACAGCAGAATTATTTAGTAAATTTGAGGCCCAAGTGGCAAAAAGCAGATACAAATCCCTAACCTTTTGGTTATAAAACAGATAATATAACCTGAAAAGACTATGATTTTATTATTATAAAGGTCTTTTGTATTGAAAACAATAATCTTGCTTTGAAGAAAGATTTCAGCAATTAGATCTATAAAACTATTAGTGAATTTACTTAGCTATAAAACCAGGTTTAATCCACCATTTTCTACATAAGGAAATGCATGTACCAAGTGAGGAATATGGCAGTTGTTTTCCTTTCGTTTGATGTGTTTGAGCTTTTGATTTTGTAGTTTGACAAGGAACTTTTCGATTTGAATTTTCCTTTCGATTGTTTGTTGAAAAACACGTCAACCAAACGTAACAAATATGTTGTCGATCAAAATATCAAGTATCTTGATAATGTCTGTTTTAGAGAATTTTTTGTATTGCTTTGTTTTAAAAACTTCTAGTTCATATATCAGCCAATTTATATGAGATATCTAGTAAGAGATTATATTATTGTGACTCATTGACCATTTGAGGCAGAAATTGTGAACTTATATAGATAAATGGCCATACAGTAAGATGTGAACTGGAGACAGAGGCAGGATTTGATACTTTATATAATCTTGAATGTTGGAATAAATAACTATTAACCTTTACATTAATAGTATTCTGAAATACTTTCAATTTGTTATAAGAGTAGTTTCATCAAGGTTCGAGGCATTTCATGTCAGAAAACATGCACATAGGGTAAGGTGACAATAATTAAAGTCTTGTTTTCAAATTCTTTAAAAATTGAAACATGGGTGGGGGTATTAAATGTACTGTTAAAAGTTAGAGTACACGCAGTAATTTCTTTTAGGCTAGTATTCTTTCGATTTGAATAAATGTTAGTATAAGTTGCACTTTGTAAATACCACTAATTCACAAACCATGCCCCTTTTTGGGTGATATATACTAATGGTAGATAATTTGTTTCGGTTCACAGATATGATCTCTATGCTTCATTTCAAAGAGACACAACTTGTAAATTTTACAA